TTATCAGTTAAAAACAGTTACTACATTCACGAAAATTATCCAATTTTAATTATTCATTTTTTAATTTTTTTTCTTCCTAATTTTACTGAATAAATATTTACAATATTTTAATTTAAAGAAAGGGATAATGCCCAAGTACCCCCTCAACCTATGCCCGAAATCTCAGAGACACACTTATACTATACTAAGGTCCTATTACCCCCATGAACTTATTTTATTAATAATTTTTTACCCCTTTTCGACCTACGTGGCACTATCTTGTGGGTCCAACGATGGTTGACTTTTTTTTCTTCAAACTAGTGCCACGTAGGCTAAAAAGGGGTAGAAAATTACTTATAAAATAAGTTCAGAGGGATAATAGGACCTTAGTATAGTATAAGTGTGTCTCTGGAATTTCCGGCATAGGTTGAGGGGGTACTTGTTCATTATCCCTTAAAGAAATGCTATAAGTTGATATATTATATGTTATAGAATGAAAAATTATAATCTTGTGCCATAACTTGAGAATATGACTACATAATATGCTATATACCTAATTTACACTTCAATAAATACTATCCTAGTTGAGGTATCTAAGTAAATTATATACGGACAACTTTAAGGGGTCGCACCAAAAAAATTTGTCGAAACATATTCTTATGTATTTATGTGATATACACACGACATACAAATTATAAATGATATGCATGTCATATGTATATCATTATATCATATGTATGTCAAGTATATGTCTAGTGTATGATATACAGTGACATAGCTAGTGAACATACTAATGATATATGTCAATTATCATCATTGTATGTCATATATATATGTATATATCTTATGTATGTAAATGACATATCAATGATATACAATGACACAAAAGTGTACATGAAGAGAAGATTTTGAGGAAGTCATGAACTTTAGTAAAGAAGCAAATAACAACAAATAAGAACATAGAGATGCTTATGGAACTGTTTCATAGAACAATTACTTTTTGTACGTCCATGGATGAATCTTAAAATATAAATAAATTTCTTCCGTTCTAAGAAAAAAGAAACAATAAACAATGCTATAATTTTGATGATGAATTATAAAAATGAATAGAATTTTCGTAATTTTTCAATGAAGTTGTGACGAACTCCAAAAAAAAAAATGTAACATATTAAAAGTAATAACTTTGATCGCAATGAGAAATGAAGTTTACTGATTCAATGAATTTAGCATATCCTTTATAATTAATGGTTCGAACCAATGTGCTTAATGTTAATTTTTGAGACTAATGATAATATTAATGTTTGTAATTAATGATTGAAGTAAATGCATTTAGAGTAAACGGTGAGACTCATTGATTTCACATGAATGAGTCTATCATTGTGGTCACCATCTATCTTTGAGACTAAATAAAAATTGAGATAACTAATTAATTCAACTATTAATATGTTGTGATATAAGTAGATGAGATTAAGGGTGAAGGTTAGTTAGCAATAATGGGCAGATTAGTCTTTTTACTGTATAGTTGTTATAATTATTTTCTGGAAGATTAGTTAAATATTTATATAGAGAAAAGACATAAAGTTATCACTAAAGTTGTCTCGAACTTTCAAAAAGACATCTTAATTTTGTGGGTATTCTATTTCCTCATTGAACAATTTAAGAGTGTTATAAATATCCCATTTCTTATCCAACCCCAATTGGAATTTTTAACCAAATTAAGCCATTATATAAAACAATTTACCAAAGTAATATATTTTTTTAAAATTTTACAAAACTAGTATAAACGTATTTCACGGTAACGTTTTAGGGTATATTTTTTTTAAAAAAAACTAACAGCATTAGGTTGATATACGTTACTGTAATGTTTTACTCCTAAAACGTTATTTTCAGTAACGTTTTACTCCTAAAAAGTTACTATGTAGTAACGTTTTAGCAGTAAAACGTTACTGTGAGTAATGTATATCAATCTGACGCCATTAACTTTTAAAAAATAAAATATATCCTAAAACGTTACTGTGGAATACGTTTATACTAGTTTTGTAAAATTTTAGAAAAACATATTATTTTGGTGAATGACTTTATATAATGGCTTAGTTTGGTTAAAATCTCCCCCAATTGCAAGAAAAGAGATGCAATCATGCACCAATAGTTGTTTGACACGCATTAAGTTTTTTTAATTTTTAATTTTTAGTTTTATTTTCATTTTCATTTTATTATTTTTAGTTTTATTAACTTTATTTTCATTTTTTCTCTCTTTTTTCTTAAATCTTCATTACTCAAATCTTTTGTTCTTTGTTGTAAATCCTCCAAAATTAGCAGCCATAGTCACCGTCAATGTAGCCTCCGTGATGCTTCCATGTTATAACACTATTTTCGTCATCAAAACATCACTAAATAAAATCAATTCAACTCTCAAGTTACTAAAGCAAGGTAATGAGACAAAAAAAAGATGGAGTTTCATAGTTTTCTCTAATCAATGGAATTCTTTTTTTTTTTAAAAAAAAAGATAAAAGAAGAAAAAGAAACAAAGAAAAGCAAGAGACAAGAAAAAGAAGTGATAAAAATGAATGAAGTAAATGGATCTTCTAAGTTGAAGAAGATGAAGAAAGGGTAATTGAATTTTTGAATTTCGGTAAAAAAGAAAATGGGGAAGATGATGTAAATTAATTAATAATTAATATTAAAGAAATATAATGACACCTGACACTTTATAGCTGGTTATGGCAATAAAAAGATTGGGTCACGCGCTGCATTTGCGTGACAACGACCCAGGCGAGAAAATACGTCAAAATAGCCCATTTACAAAGATATTAAATAGTTTCATGGAGTGGTCATACACTTCCAAAGTTAAGGATGCTCATTTATATAAGTAACTACTTCCTCATTAAAGAAACAATTCAGATTAAAAAACGTGATCCTCTCTTCTTCAGTCTGATTATAATTAGAAGCTGGTGTGTGTTAAAGGATCAAAAAATCAATTCTTGGTTCTTCGATTCATAGAGTTGTATAAAAATTGGGTGCAAATCGTAGTTTGAGATAAGGATGGAATCAATGTCCTCTAATAACTGTTAATTCATTTTTTTCCGCGAGAAGAAGCTCAATTTATCAACGATGGTGCTCGAAGGTAGTTTGATGAATGTGCCTCAAAATAAGTCTGCGTCGTGTGTTCCTCAAACTGGCAGTTCAGCTTAAGGTCAAGGTATTGACTACAATCATCCTTTATTTTTAATTCCTACTGATGTTAGTGGTATTAGTTTGATTTCATTTCAATTGCTTGGCATTGAAAAATATATGTTATGGAGTAGATCTATTCAATTAGCATTGTTAGGAAGGAATAAGCTTGGGTTAATTGATGGAACTGTTAAAAAGGAGATGTATGGTGTAGAATTGTGGGGGCATTGGGAAAGAATCAATGCAATTGTGTTATCCTGGTTGCTAAATTATGTATCTAAAGGATTATTGAGTGGACTTGCGTTTGCCTCTAGTACATTTGATGTTTGGACTGATTTAAGAGAAATGTTTAACCGAGTAGATGGTTCGAGAACCTATAGCTTGCACAAAGACATTGTGTCTATGCAACAGGGTAATGTATCTGTTTCTAAGTATTACACAAGGATCAAAACTTTGTTGGATGAGTTTGAAATATTAGTACCAACTCCTTGTTGAAACTGTGAGATTTCAAAGGGATTTGTAACTCATATGAACATGTAGAAAGTTTATCAGTTCTTAATGGGACTAAATGAATCCTATCAACAAGCTAAAAGTCAAATTCTCATGCTCGATCCATTATTAACAATTAATCATGTGTATTTTATGATAGTTGGAGATGAATGTCAAAAGGCTGTGGTAAGTTGTACTACCAACTTGGGAATGACTTCTTTAGCTCGGATTCATCTGTTGCTATGTACTAAAAAGCTGGTAGCAGTTCAGGTGATAGTAATAGCTCAGGTGCGAATTAGAAGTTTAAGAGGAATTCAATATTGATATGTGATTTTTGCAAATCCACAGGTCATAGCAAAGAGTTCTGTTACAAAGTGGTAGATTATCCTCCTGACTTTAACACTTTGTGTGGATCATTGTTATCCATTGTTTCATAATGTATTGTATTGTATTGTATTGTATGGTAGATACAATGTTTGGCTAGATTGTTTTGTTGTTGTTTAGTAACATTTTAATTGTCTAGTTTGATTGTATCGTACTGTATTGTAATTTATAAATTTACTTAAATATCCTTTATTATTCTAGGGTAGTAGGTTTGACTAGGTTTAAATAATTAAGGTAAAGGGTAAAATAATATTTTAAAATATTATGTAAAGATATAATTGGAAAAAGAAATTAAGTAACAATGGTAACATACCAAATTGGTTGTTCCATAAAATAGGAGTTTCCATTGTAACGTAACAACTAAATTTAACGATACAATACAATACATTTTAAGTAACAACCAAAACAGACATTGTAGGTATAATAACGATACAGTATAATATAATGGATAACAATGACCCAAACATAGTGTAAGTCAAAAAGAAAGGTGCAAGGAGGTTCAAGTTCTCCAACTGGTAATCAATATTAATCAGCTCAGGAAAATTTGACATATAGTCTCAACAATAACATTCCTCCACCTCCATCTAATCCACAACAACACTGTTTGAGGGATCTACTGTCAATTTCAAATTCAATCAGGTTGAGAAAGAGGTTCAACAGATGCTACAAGGTTGCACCTTTACAAAAGACCAGTATGATCACATTTTGAAAATAGTTCAACAAAAGTCACATGCACCTACTGTTTCTAATGCAACACTACTAGTACAACAGGTAAAAATACTTTTGTTATTGATCATAATCAAGTGTGGATTATTGATACAGGATTAACAAATCACATGGTTTCTAGCTTAGATATGATGATGAAATGCTCAGTGTCAAAGCTCTCAAAAGTTTAACCTGTTTATCTTCCAAATGGTACTATCACTCTAGTATCTCATGTTGGTTCATGTGCCTTATTACACAGAAGTGTGATCACTAATGTGTTACATGTTCCTGAGTTCAAGCATAATCTATAATCAGTTAGTCAAGTCACAAAGGAATTAGGTTGTTGTGTCACCTTTTTTCCTAATTTTTGTATGTTCCAGGAACTCTTCAATGGGAAGGTGAAGGAAGCTGGTAAAGAAGAAGGTGGTCTATACTTGTTCATGCAACATTAAAATAATAAAATTGAGTCAAGGTCCAGTAATGAAAAAGAAGATCTTGTTGTCAACAATACAAAGACAGTAGACATGAAGTTGTGGCATCAAAGGTTAGGACATGTGTCTTCTGGAGTTCTTCCAAGACTGTTTGGTGTGAATCAACAAACGTTATGTTTTTTGTCAGAATGTTCTATATGTCCCTATGCTAAACAAGGCTAGCATTTCCTGTGAGTGGTATTAAAAGTGTAGCTTTTTTTTGACTTGATACATGTTGATGTTTAGGGTCCTTATGCTATACCTACAGTTGATTGTAGCAAGTATTTTCTTACTATTGTTGATGTTTTTTCAAAATTGACTTGGCTATTCTTGCTTAAACTTAAATTAGCTGGTTGTGTTTCTATTACAGAGTTTCTTGTATATGTTAAAACTCAATTTGGTAAGGGAGTCAAAATATTAAGGTCTGACAATGGTACTGAGTTTGTGAACTCAGTATGTGTTAATATGTTCAAAGATATGGGTATTGTACATCAATGATCATGTCCTTATACTCTTCAACAAAATGGTTTCTGATAGGAAACATAGGCATTTACTTGAGGTCACAAGAGCACTCAAGTTTCAGGCTAATATACTTGTGTTTTATTAGGGTTAATGTGTGTTAGTTGTTGCTTATATCATTAACAGGTTACCTAGTAGTGTGCTTGGTTATGAGACACCTTATGAAAAGTTGTATAGTAGCAAACCAGTATTGTCTCATCTCAAAACTATTGGCAAGATGTATTAGAAGATCTTCTAGGCCAAAACAATCTCCATTATGGCTGAAGAATATATGTGTTATGATCATCTATGTTCTCCTTATCAAGCTTATATTGCTGTTACTTCTCAAATAAAGGAGCCTGATACCTATTCTGAGGCTATGTGCAGATAAAAGGTGGGTGGATGCCATGGAATCTGAAATACAGGCTCTTGAAAGTAACAATACTTGGGTAATACTGATCTACCCCAAGGGAAGAAACCTATAGGTTGTCGATGGATTTATAAGCTGAAGTATAAATCAATTGGAGAGGTTGAATGATTCAAAGCTAGACTGGTTACTAAGGGGTATAGTCAGCAGGAAGGTATAGACTACAAGAAAACTTTTTCTCCTGTTGTAAAATGAGTTATAGTTAGAACCATTGTTTCTCTTGCTGCTTCAAGGCATTGGCATATCCATCAAATGGATGTATTTAATGAATTCCTACATGGTGAGTTGGATGATGAGATATATATGTAATTGCCTCGGGTCTTTGTCAGTCAAGGGGAAAAGGTATGTAGGCTGACGAAATCCTTCTATGGTCTCAAACAAACACCTAGACAATGGAACCATAAGTTGACTGAAGCACTTATCAAACTAAAGTTTCGGCAGAGTCAACATGATCATTCATTGTTTATTAACAAAGCAAAATAGGGATCATTATAGTTCTTGTTTATGTGGATGATATGTTGATCACTGGCAGCAGTCTAAAGCTAATACAAGATACAAAAGAAGCATTACAACAAGCCTTCAAGATAAAGGATCTAGGTGAATTAAAGTATTTCTTAAGAATTGAATTCACTGGATCAAATGTTGGTATATTGATGCATCAAAGGAAGTATGTTCTTGAACTACAGCAGCCAAACCTGTAGGTACACCTATTGACATCAGTGTTAAACTTACATCAAAGGTGTATGATGAACATGTAAAGAAGGAACAAGTAGAGGCAGATGATCCACTTGTGGATCAAACAATCAAAGATTAATTGGCAAGTTATTGTATCTAAATATGACTAGAACTGACATAACATTTAGTACACAAACTCTTAGTCAATTTCTACAGAAGCTGAAGAAGTCACTTTTGATGTTGCATTAAGAGTGATTAGATATATGAAGAGACAATCAGGCCAAGGTTTATTGTTATCTAGCAGTTCAGATGGTTTGGTGACAACATTTTGTGATACTGATTGGGCTTCTTGTGTGTTGACCAGAAAGTCTGTAACAGGATACATGGTAAAGGTTGGTCAGTCACTAGTTTCTTGGAAGACAAAGAAACAAACGACAGTGTCAAAGAGTTCAGTTGAAGCTGAATATAGGAGTCTTGCCTCTACTGTTTTAGAATTAGTATGGTTTCTTGGATTACTGAAAGAAGTAGGAGCTGAAGTACAATTACCAGTGCATGTGTATAGTGACAGAAAAGCAACCATTCAAATTGCCGCAAATCTAGTGTATCACGAAAGGACAAAGCATATTGATTGATTGTCACTTTATAAGGGAGAAAATACAAACAAGGATTGATCAATGTGAGTTATATTTCCACAAGAAATTAGCCTACAGATGTACTTACAAAAGGGTTATCTAGACTTCAGCATGAACATCTATTATCCAAACTAGGAGTGTTAGATATTTTTGCACCACCTAGTTTGAAGGGGAGTGTTGTGATATAAGTAGGTGAGACTAAGGGTGAAGGTTAGTTAGCGATAATAAAGGCGCAGATTAGTATTTTTACTGTATAGTTGTTATAACTACTTTTGGGAGGATTAGTTACATGTTTATATAAGTAACTATTTCCTCATTATGTAAAGAAACAATTCAGATTAAAAAAAAACGTGTTCCTCTCTTCTCTTCTCTTCTTTTTCCTTCTAAATTTCTCATTCATGGTGTTGATTGAGCTTCTTTAGTTACATTCATAACATTTTCATTTAACTTCTAATAACTCAAGATAATATTTTACACCCTCATGAATAAACTATTAATAAGACATTACTACTCTACTTCTTCTTAGTTACATATTTGATTCCACATGAATGAGTCATCATGGTGGTCACATCATTATCGAGAATATATATAAAAAATCAAATAACTAATTAACTGAACTACTAATATTTTCGTTAACTTTCAACAATTCTAGACAATATTTTACACCTCATGAATAAATTATTAATAAGACAATACTAATCTACTTCTTCTTAGTTATGTTTTTTATTTCAAATGAATGGGTCGTCATCATGGTCACCATCATCATCAATACTAAATAAAATTTTTTTAGATAACTAATTAACTGAACTACTAATAATTCGATTTGTGAAATTAGGTCTTAGGCCTAACTCACACCTCAAAAGCTAGCTCAAAAGGAGGAGGATTGCCCAAGCCTTATAACGAGTCTACCCATCTCATTAACCACTGATGTGAGACTTTTGTCATTTTTTAACACCCCACCTCACGACCAATGCTTAGCATCTGGTGCATGGACAATTTTGATTTTAAGGGTCCCAACATCGAGTGAGACGGGTCCTGCTCTGATACCATGTGAAATTAGGTCTTAGGCCTAACTCACACCCCAAAAACTAACTCAAAGGGAGGAGGATTACCGAAGCCTTATAAAGAGTCTACCCACGCACCAGATACTAAGCACTGCGCGTTAGGTGGGATGTTAAAGAATGACAAAAGTCGTTAATGAGATGGATGAGACTTGGGCAATCCTCCTCCATTTGAGCTAACTTTTGAGGTGTGAGTTAGGTCTGAGACCTAATTTCACATCGTTTAACTTTCAACAATACACCCTTGTGAATAAACTATTAATAAAAACATTATTTTTTTAAATCTTCTTAATAGTTAGGTATTTGATTTCACATGAATAAGTCATCATTGTGATTTGTGGTCATTATCGTCATCCAAATAAGATTTATTATTCTGATGACTAATTCGAGCTAATTACTTAAAATCTTTTTAACAAATTTACACTTTTTCATTTAAAAAAAACTCTTATAAAGAAAATTTCTAATAATATTTTTATGATTTTGTAAAAAATTTAATAATGAAATACACGCGCCATACAAGTTAGGTAGTTATATAAAATATATAAGAAAGAGGAATGGAAATTGCTAGAACTACTGAAATTAAGCTTTCACAAGCCACGTGTAATCTCACTTTATGGTGAGAAAGAGACACCAACATGTATACAATTGAAGATATTTGAGATCCGACCTCGATTCAGGATACGAGATTTGATCTTGACCTTGATATGAGATATATGACCCGAATCTACCTTTGATTTGGGATTCTAAATCTAATCTCTACCAGAGACTAGACCTTAACTTGGGATATAAGACTTGAGCCTCGATCCTAATTCGATACCCATAACTTTAGCCTCGATACTAATTCGATACCCATAACTTGAGCCTCTATCCTAATTCAAGACACGACACTGACTTGAAACCCAACCCTGAATCTAATCAAGGGACTGAGACCCAACCCAAACCCGAGAATCTACCTCGACTCGGGACTTGAGATTCGAGATTTGATTCCTAACTATGTCTTGATCTCAACTAGAGCGCTCTCTGAATCTAATCGAGGGACTGAGATCCAACCTAAACCTGAGAATCGACCTCGACTCGGGACTTGACCCCTAACCATGACCCGATCTCAACTAGAGCGCCGACTCTAACATGAAACTCGAGATACAACTTGAACTATGACCTGATCCCGACCCTAGACTTGAGCTAGACCCTCAATCCGAGGATGGAACCCCAACTCATAGAAAAAATCAAAATAAATCTCAAGCAATTTATTCATATTAAAGTAAATCTTAAAATAATCTAGAATTGAGGTGGTATTGAGCTAAATTCGAGATCATTTTAAAAATATATTAGGCTAAATCAATTCAATATAAATTATCTTCTGTTTAACTTTAAAATTTTGGGCGAATTGGTCAAACCACCAAATTTTAGGACATATTTACACCCCCATTTGGTACAAGAAAAGCTTTAAAAGAATTTTTTTTTTGTAGACAAAACACATTTAATCAATATTGTGCCACATAAGGTATGCAACGTCAATTTCAATTCTAAAATCCAAATTTTTAAATGATTACCTGATTTGGGAAACCATTGCCTAATTCAGCAAAAAACTTTATTCTATTATTAAAAGATAAGCAATCAAATCATTACCAAGATTGAAAAATATTTTTTAATGAAAATTTTATAACGTGATAAACTTGACAACATTTTATAGCTAAATATTTACTCGTACCCGATGTTTATTATACATCAAAACAACCATTACAACTAAGGTAACTATACCAATTAGGTAACAAATTAAGGTTTGTATTGATTATAAAAGATTTTTCAAGTAGATCAAAGAACAAAAGCAATATAGAAAAGGGAGATTTCATATTACTATTGCAGAACAACTAATTAAAAGAAAATAATATTATCCATAACATTTTCTTATTGAGATAGTTAATCCTCTATCTGTAGGCATTTTTAGTGCACATGCTCATTCTTATTTTGATCACTGAATCCGTAGATCGGAAGAGGTGATAATGGCAAGTAAAATTGATCATACACATCCCCTCTATCTGTCGTCTTCTGATATCACAGGTGCAGTTCAAATTGACATCCAACTTGTAGGGATGGAGAATTACACTTTGTGGAGCAGGGGGTGGAATTAACAT